TCCTCACCGCTCACCACTCACACTCACCCTCACTACTCACCACTCATCCTCACCAATCACACCCTCACCAATCACCACTCACCCTCACTGCTCACCCTCACCACTCACCACTCACGCTCACCCTCACCCCTGACTAATCACCACTCACAACTGCCACTCTCTCTCACCACTCACCCTCACCACTCACCCTCACTACTCACCACTCATCCTCACCAATCACACCCTCAACAATCACCACTGACCCTCACCACTTACCACTCACCCTCCCACTCACTACTCACCCTCACCACTCACCCTCACCATTCACCCTCACCACTCACCCTCACCACTCTGCCTCACCACTCTCCCTCACCACTCACCCTCACCACTCACCAGTCACGCTCACCACTGATGCTCACCACTCACCCTCACTACTCACCCTGCCCACTCACCCTCACTCACCTAATCGCTCACCACTCACCCTCACCCTGACCACTCACCACTCATCCTCACCAATCACACCCTCACCAATCACCAATCAGCACTCACCCTCACCTTCACCACTCACCCTAACCACTCACCCTCACCACCACCACTCACCCTATTCCCGTTTTAAAAAAAACTTGCTTACGTGTCGCCAAGTATGCTTAACATTTCACTAATTTAGACCTGACATGGTGCTCTGGTCCCGTTCGCTCAAGAAGGTCTTCATCATTGAGCTCACAGTACCCTGGGAGGACTCAGTAGATGAGGCTTATGAGCGAAAACATCTGCGCTATGCCGATCTAGCTGCCGAAGCACGGCATCATGGCTGTAACACAGAAGTCCGACCAGTGGAGGTGGGCTGCAGAGGTTTTGTGGCAACATCTACAACCAGACTGCTTAGAGACCTGGGAATTAAGGGCCAGAGCCAGCGTTCGGCAATCAAAGCTGTATCGGAGGCGGCAGAAGGCAGCAGTCAGTGGCTCTGGATGAAGAGGAAAGACCCCAGCTGGGCCCCAAAGTGAGAGGGCCAGGAGGTATGCAGTCAACAATGCTTGACTCAGGGAGGAGGACGCCCCTGCCATGCATAGTCCCATGGGATGTTGGCTACCAACAACAAGGCAACTCCTATGACTAATTGGGAATGGGACGCAAGCGTAGGATTGATCACCCTGTCGCTGGCCGCCTTTGGGGAGGGTGTATAGTATGAAAGGCCGAAACACCCTAGGAACCAAAGGGTCACTACTGACGATGCGCTCCCCAAATTTCACCAGGCTCACTGTTCATGAACTCTTGGAAGTGCTTGCACAAAGGATAGTAACATCTCATCCTGTGTTCTTTGGAATCTTGACATTACACATACAAAACGTCAGCTTGTACTACTGTCATGATAGCAGGTACCACCACCACAGTGATGGTGAGTGGTGAGGGTGAGCGGTGAGGGTGAGTGGTGAGGGAGAGCGGTGAGTGGTGAGGGTGTATGGTGAGTGGTGAGGGTGAGTGGTCAGGGTGAGTGGTGAATGGTGAGGGTGAGTGCTGAGGGTGAGTTGTGAGAGTGGTGAGTGGTGAGGGTGAGTGGTGAAGGTGAGTGCTGAGGGTGAGTGGAGAGGGTGAGTGGTTAAGGTGAGGGTGAGTGGTGAGGGAGAGTGGTGGTGGTAAGGGTGAGGATGGTTGGTGATTGTCAGTGGTGAGCGTGAGTGGTAAGGGAAAGGGGTGAATGGTGAGGGTGAGTGGTGAGGGAGAGTGGTGAGGGTGAGTAGTGGTGGTGAGGGTGAGTAGTGAGTGATGAGGGTGAGGGTGATTAGTGAGTGGTGAGGGTGAGCGTGAGTGGTGAGGAGTGAGGGTGAGTGGTGGTGAGTGGTGGTGGTGAGGGTGAGTGGTGAGGATGAGTGGTGGTGGTGAGGGCGAGGATGATTGGTGAGGGTGAGCGTGAGTGTTGAGGGAGAAGGGTGAGTGGTGAGTGATGGTGAGTGTGAGTGGTGATAGTAAGTGGTGAGTGGTGAGGGTGAGTGAGGAAGAGTGGTGAGGGAGAGTGGTGAGGGTGTATATATTTTTGCCTATGATGACAGCAGTACATGCTGACGTTTTGTATGTTAAATGTAAAAGCAAAATGTGTGAATGTGTGTGTCTGCGAGACACAGTTTGTTATAAAGGGAACAGGGCGATTCGAAATGAATCAACAACCATCGATTCCTTTGCGCAAATCAGAGAATCGATTCTTGGCGCGTCGGGTTTAAAAGTAATTACAGAGTTTTATTTTCATTGGTATGTAATGTTTTAAAGTTTTCAGAAGATTTTAAATGTATTTTCCCCCCGGGCAACGCTGGGTATATCGAGTTTATACCACAAAGTCGTCGCCTGACACGTATGGGGTGTGGAGGCCTAGTACCGTGCAGAGCCTCCGGCCTCGCCTAGATTGCCCACCCGGCCGAGGCTGGGTGCTGTGGCTGTCACCCCCCCCCCCCCCCCCGCGCTACAATAATACTGTCTAATCGCTATTATTTTATTATCTACCGACCCTATGATAGTGATTGCACACATTGGGGTGGGTGGGGAGTGAAGAGGACGTGAAACTTTGATGAATTTACCTCAGCGTCGCGTGTTAATGCGTGCGCATATTTTAACGGGAATTAAAAATGGCGTCCACCTCGAAGCGGCGTTGCTAACCGTTGCCAGGGGCCAACCGCCCGTTGCCAGGGGCAACCGCCTTCACTCATGCGCAACGGCGTGCTTCGTTACGTGCTGGTCGGCAATAATAAATAAATAAAGAGAAATCGCACTAAATCGATAATCGGTCCGATTTAAAGTTTAGAGACGAAAAATCGGAAATGCCTAAGTTTACCGCGGGGCCGGGGGCGTGCCCACCTGCAAAATTTAATCTCGGCGAACCCCACGGTCCGAGAGCTAAATCCCCCGGAAGGGAGCGTACGCAGACTGACAGACAGACAGACAGACGGACAGACAGACAGACGGACAGACAGACAAAAAGTGACGTTTATAGGTAAGATATGGGTACAACTGTATGGAATAAAAACAAATTAAAATCTTCTTCTTCTTCTCCTAGCATATGGCAAGGATGTGTAAATGACACATTCAGGTTTAAGTTCGTGAGTCACGTGATAGCTTCGGGAGCAGCGCGGCCAATACTGTCCGGTGTGCCAGAGAGTGGGCGAACAATGCAGTGGTTCACTGCATGGTCCCATTGTTTCGTTTGGGTGGCCACGATCACTGCACTATGGGTCATCTTTCATTTCCCACTCGTGGAAGATTACCGCACAGCAGCGAACGGTCGCAGTTCTGTATGTAAGTTGCACTTCTTTAGCACCGTACATTGCCAACTATGCTAATCGGAGGTGCAGGGGAAGGACAACAAATTAAACCAAAAAGCAGCTCTAAAGAGGTTTTTTAAATTTAAATCTAGACTTAAAAGTGTATAATCTCCGGTGGCTTCTTAATATCGGAAGGAAGAGCGTTTTAGACGGCCACAGAAGCGCATCTAAAAGAGCGCGATGCTTTGACCGTCTTTGTTCAATGGTTAGCCAAAAGCCGCTGCGAGAATGACCGGAGTTTTCGTGATGGTTTATGCTCCTTGACGAGATCTGCAAGGTATTTTGGCTCATTTGTGGCAAGTACTTTGTGTGCGATGAGTTCGACCTCGTAATGTATTCGTTCGGCAAGCCAATGCAGCTCAGCGAGCACTGGACTGACATGGTCGGATCCTGTAGCACCCGTCACGACACGCGCCAAAGAATGTTGTACACGCTGCAGCTTGGTAATGTCTTTTTTTTGCCAGACCTCTCGTAGAGTAGCGAGTTGCAATAATAGAGGCTTGTCCATACTATACTACACGCCACCGTGTTGGCTATGTTACGGCTCTATATTAAATTTCGATTTAAAGCTTTCGTGACTGCAGGGATTCATATTCTTGGTTCTTTCTGTAAAGTCACGTAGAAGGGAAGTAATAAAATAATAAAAATAAAGCCCAGCTTAAATATACGCTCCAAGCTTGGTGGTGTTTCATTTTTCACCTGAGGACGGCTGCTTGCGTTGTGGCCGAAACGTCGTGAGAATTATTTTATTATGTTTTATTTTTATTATTTTATTACTTCCCTTCTAAGTGACTTTACCGAAAGAACCAAGAATATGACTCTATATTAGTCAAACGTGTCGTAGATCTCAGATACGAAAACTATATTTTGCACCTGGTGATCAAACCACATTTTTGTCGAGTATGGGGCCAAGGCGGTTTGGTTGATGGAGGCGCCCGGTTTTTTTGGCAGAACAAAGCCACGTGGAGCAGTGGTGGAGTCCTCGATGATGCTTTTATTAAAATGGCACGAATAAAAAAACACATCTACCGACCTGTCGTTAATAAACTCCCACATGGTTACAAATACAGTTCATTGATCGAGAGTGAGAAAATATCGTGCAACACCGCAAGTATTTGGTGGAGCGGTTACGTGTTGGGTTGCGCGCTGCAATATTAAACTATGCAACTACAGTATATATATATTTTATTTTACCAGGTAAGGCCCATTGAGCTAATATAGCTCTTTTTCAGAAATTATAGCACAACGAAGTGGCTTAGCACGTGGACATTTATAGCAGTCAAGGCTCTAAATGCATGCGGAGGGAAAAACCGGAGGAGCGGGAGAAGAATCCACACGACCACGGGGAGAACATGCAATCTCTAAATACACAGGCGTCGGGGTCGGGATTGAACCCACGACCTCTTGCTATAGAAGGCGACGCGATGAAATCGACGAGAAGACACCTCCAATGATTGACTGGCGTTTAAGCGCTCACAAAGCACTCGCGATCAACACTGGCCCCAAAGTAACTCAGACCACTTGTTACTATGTCATAAAGCAAACCAGTTCTGTTAAATGATATCCCATGAGCCGCCACTTGCCATCTTCACACAGGTCTGTCAAACTCTAAGACCTGCGGGGGAGAGGTTTCTAATCAGTTTAGAGTTATGTCGTGTGTGTGTGTAAAGGCACAGCAAGTTGTACTGAAGGAGGCCTTCTCGCACTTACTGAGGGCTTCAGAACTCTGCAGAAGGTCCATGAGGATGGAAAGTACCACCACCACCACCACATTGAGAACCCCACGAGACGAGTACGCCATGCCTTGAAGTTCTGATCGAGAAATCCCTGTCGATGGTTTCACCACCTCACCCCCAGAGGTGGTATGAAACACACCGGGGTGCAGAGGCATGCAGAAATTTATATTGCGTTTGCACACGCACTTTTGCCTCGGAAAGAATGTATGTGTTATGCATTACTCACGTCAGCAAGCGAGAGATCTTTGAACCGCACGGTAGAGATAGAAGGTATAATTTGATGGGCTGGGTTAATAATTCTCCATGTTTATATCGCTGGCTTGAGTATACTGAAGATATTTACAGAATGGGGCATGCTTCAGGTTGTAAACATTTAAAAACATATATTTAGCTTGAACTACATTTTTACTTTCTTACCATTAAGTCAGCATAATTATCTATGTACCCATAGATGCCAGGGAAATTTTTTCACATTTTGTTTATTTAGCGACCAATGGAACTGCGGTGAAAGTGATTGACCCCATCGTTCATTTGCCAACTTTCAGAAGCCAGGAGTTTATTTCCCGCTTGAAGCCCATTAAACATCACAGCTCTTACATCCTTTGCCAGTACCAAAATATGAAAACAGGTTTTTCCCATTATTTCTGGCATATATTATCAGAGGATGTTTTTTGTTTGCATTCTGACCACTAGCATTGTGGTTGATGCAGACATGATTCCTCGTAAAAGGTTTGGTGTTTAATAATTTAACACCTAAACTAGATTCGAAGCTTTCGTGACTGCAGAAACTACTCTTTGGTTCTTTCGGTAAAGTCACGTAGAAATAAATTAAATGAAATAATAACATAATACGACGTTTCGGTTGCAACACAAGCAACACTCATCAGGTATAAATTAATGAGAAAACAAACATAGTAAACTTGGAAATATAATGCAATACAACACCCTACCTGGTTTATTACGTTGTGTCTAAACATAGACACGGAGACACACAGACAGACACACAAGCAGACCACCTCTGCGGGAAGGGTTTGCTGTGCTTGTTTGTTTCACACTTAACTTCTAATTTAGCAATCTTTGGAAGAACGCACTCAACCAGGCTATGCGTTAACTGTGTGCTAACCGAATCTCTGTGTTGCATTGCATTACACTTCCTAATTTTACTAAATTTTGCTTTCTACCGTGCTTGTTTATGGGTCCATTCTCTCATCTGGCCGCTATGGGCAGTAATTCCACACAACTCCCCCTCTGCCCCCCCCCCTCTCTCTCTATTTAAGGCCTCGACACAGAGACGTCTTTCTGTGTGCCTATGTGTGTGTCGTTTATTGTGAAAATTCGGTCACAGTTCCTATGACCACCGTTTCATTGCTTTTATGGCTTTATTTTGGTGATTTTCGAAAAGTTTTTTGGTTTGGCCATGTTTGTTTGTTGTAGTACAGAGTTAGACTGATGGCCTTAATCTAAGTTGTCTTGTGGTTGTTGTTGTTTGACTTGCATACCACTGGGATATTTGCACAGGGTTGGTGTACGGTGATTTTTTCTGCAATATTTTGCTGTCTTTTCTTGGATTTTCTGTTTGCACATAGTCACTTTAAGATGTTTTCTTGTTCATGTTTTTGTTTTTTGTTTGTTGCGGTTGCACCCGATTCAAGAGCCGAATGGCTCACAGGGCTATACCTAATAAATGAACTTTGTGTCTCTCTCTGTTTGTCTCTGTGTGAGTCTCTCTCTCTGCTTGTGTGTCTGTCTGTGCGTCTCCGTGTCTATGTTTTGTCTCTCTGTCTCAAGTTTAGTAATTTTTGGAAGAACGTAATCAACCAGGTGGGGTGTTGACTGCTGTGTTGGCAGCCTCTCTGTGTTGTACTGCATTATATTTCCAAGTTTACTATGTTTGTTTCTCATTCATTTTTACCTGATGGTTGCTTGTGTTGCAACCGAAACGTCGTATTCTATTATTATTTTATTTAATTTATTTCCACGTGACTTTACTGAAAGAACCAAAGAGGAACTTAACACCTGTTTTTTTGCCAGAAGAAAGGGGAACGACCTATTTTCATCACAGCTCTTTTTTGCTGCATGCAGAAGGTCATTGTTTGAATCCTGTTTCGAGAGGAGTGAAGCCTGCCATCTATGAGGAGTTAATACATCAGTACCATTTGTGTGAAGATTTAGCAGTGTGTTGTCCTAGATTAGCCCATGTCATAATTTCGTGGATATTTGTTTTTTTTTCTCTCAGGACTATGCACGTGTATGCACACGCGTGTTGTAAGCACATGTCCGATTCTGTTTGTTAATCTCCTGCCGGATGAGGGCCTTCTCACCTGTTGCAAGCGATGAGTATCGGTTAGATCATAGTTCACGGGGCTGTACCGTGCTGGTTTGTGAAAGCAGGAAGCATTGGGCACGGATGCATAGAAGTAATGTACAACAATGTGTTGTTCTGCACTGCCCTCTGCTGTCCACCACGTGGTCTGATGTTTAGCAGGAATAATGTAATTGCAAAAAAAAGTAGTTTGTTTAATGTTTGGCCAAGAGGCATTACCAATACTTCCCAATTCAAATACAGTCTTGTAAACCTTACATTTTGACAATGTGTTTGTTTCCACAAAATCTTGTTCTTTAAAAAATGTGAATAAGTCCTGTCAAGTTCATATCGGGTGATAAAGCACTGTGGGTTTGTGTGCAGTGATTGTAAAATCTGGGTTGGATTAAGGGAGTGAACAAAACAATCCTGGGATCCCCGGGGAGATGATAAATTGCTTAAATATCGCATTTCAAGCCACAAGTGTGAAAGTAAAATATGCTTCAAAACTCAGAGGAAATGCGTCAATACTAGTACAGTATTAGCTCAGTGGCATATCGGTTTTAAATTTCCTTTTTTCCTTTTTACTTTAATGTACGCTTAAGCATCAATATGTGACCGTGTTGGGGTTGAGGTGGTGTGGCTAGCATTCCGCATCCTGCTGTGCCACATTTCCTTTCTTACAGGAGTTGATTCAATGGTCTAACCAGAAATAAGACAAAATACCTGTTTATCAACAACTTATCTCCATTGCCTGCCTTGTAAAAAGGTCTGGAGTTCAATCCCTACCCTCAAGTTTGTATACTCTGAGTTGGCATGTTTTCTCTCCCCGTGCTCACGTGGATTTTTCTCCAGGTTTGCCCTCCGCTATTTACAAAAACATGCGCTAAGATTATTTGGCTGCTCCTATAAATCCACCACGTGTGATGATAAGCCACTTTGACGAGCTATCATGTGTGGCCAGGTCACCTCTGAAAAAGATCTCGTAGCTGAGCGGGATTGACCTGGTAAACAAGACAGAACCGTAGTTTAGTTTCATGAAATAGGTCCGGGTTAATAGCAGAGTTTTGGCAGTATTGGTAAATTTCCGCCAGGTGGCGATATTTTACACAAAAAAATACTTTAAAATTTCTTGAGTCCAGAAATTCATATTCATTGGTTCTTTCGGTAAAGTCACGTATATAGAAAATTAAAATAAAATAATAATAAAATAAAAGCAAATTATTTAAGTTGTATTTATAGTTTTATTTTTTATCTACGTGACTTTACCGAAAGAACCAAAGAATATTTTACATTAAGCTGAGACCACGCCATCCTATTGTGAATTGATGCCTGTGTTGAAAGCATTGTTGCTGGAAGCATGTCTCAGGATTGAGACCAATGCTAACGTTATGGATATCGTTTAACAGGCAAACAGGCTTGTAAGAACGATCTAACGCAAACAAAAATAAAACCCACTGTGATTATTATTCTGTAATCTTTTATTTATAACTCTCTCATGAAGCCTGTCTTCGCCAGGCAACAGTTTCCAATAAATTTAATAATTAACCTGATGTGATTTTTTTTTCAATTTCTATCTATGATCAGACCAAATAAAGGAAGACATGAAGACGGTCAACGCATCCCCTGAAGATGCCCTGGACCGAGCCAAATGGAGAAGACAATGCCGAAAAGCGGACCCTGCGCCACAGCGGGAACAACGCTAGGAAAAGAAGAAAGATCAGACACTAACAACGACTACAAAAAATTTTATTTTTCCGCAAAAACAAAACACACACGTTTTTGACGACTTCAACCTCTTATCTTTAAAGACGTACCCATCGGCAATTGCTCAATTTAAAGAATCAGTTTTTTTTGTTAAGTGTTTCTCTGCCCTTTGACATTGTGTTGTGCAATTGATGCACTGCTTGCTTTCCGCTGTACCGCACCTGATTTTGTAATCTTTCGCAAAACAGTCTCCGATGAAGAGACACTTGAAGTCTTAGTGGCCTTTCACATGATCACCGATACAAATTGCTGTCGGCCTGGTTGATTAAAGATGAATGATTCACTTGTTTTTGTTTAGTGTGTTGTCTCCCACCCCATCCCGCACCTCCGATAAGCACGGTTAGGCTACGTACGGTGCGAACAAAGTTCAACATACGATGATTAGTCATGTAATAGCAATGTTACACCGGGGTGAATTTGCCTCTGACCAACTCACTCTAAATGTTCCCTATCTCGTCAAATCTCCGAAACCAAGCAGAGGCGAGCCTGGATGCTGCTTGGACGGATCACTGCCATGCATAACAGGTGTTATAGGCTAGGGGGGTTACGTGATGGCCAGGAGAGAGCAATGCAGCAAAACCCAAAGTTGTACTGTACTACGTTCAGACATCTATGTACCCCGCCGATTCTGGGCTCCAACAAATGTTGACCATTGTGTGACTGATGAACGGCGATCGGACCAAGTACCGTACACACACTGGCCCTTGCCATGAGGCAAACAAAGACCGGTGGGATCATTGTCTGAGCGCTGACAGCAGAGATGCGACACCATTCCCAGTTCTCGTTCAAACGTCGAGACGCGTTCAGCTGAAGTGCTACCCGCCCTTGGTAATCTGATTAATGAGCTACCCTAATTCCCTTTTCGCAGGGGCAGTGGACCAATGGGCGAAGGGTCGGTTTAGTCCGGTCCGGTTTAGTCGGGTCCGGTTTAGTCCGGTCCGGTTTAGTCGGGTCCGGTTTAGTCGGGTCCGGTTTAATCCGGTCCGGTTTAGTCCGGTCCGGTTTAGTCGGGTCCGGTTTAATCCGGTCCGGTTTAGTCGGGTCCGGTTTAGTCCGGTCCGGTTTAGTCCGGTCCGGTTTAGTCGGGTCCGGTTTAATCCGGTCCGGTTTAGTCCGGT